ATAAATGAGCGGTTGCTAGCCAAGTGATTACAGCATGGCTGTCTCCAATTCTGAACACTAATAACTCAATAGAACACAAAGAATTATTTGCTTCCCCCTAGTACGGGGCGTGTGATCAACTCAGATGAGCTGGGCTATCACAGCATGTTTTCTTTCTCCCTCAATAAAATGTCTAGCAACTAAGAGTTGAAAGCATTTCAGTTGTTTTGTGGTCAGCCGCACAGCTTTTGGGATCTCTGTTGATGATGTTGATGAACAGGCAAACCTTCTCTGCACAGATTCTGGTTTCACGCTCTTTGGAGCATATTTCATGGGAATTTTCACCGAGGGGTGTGCACAGTTCACTGAACGATCTGATTTCATTTGTACTCTGCTGCAGTTCAGTTGTATTTAGGTGCTGTGCTGGATCTAAAGGTCATTGCATTAATTGTTAATGGAGGTTCTTCGTGACTGCTGGTGAGTCTGACCTGAGTGTGAAAATGGGATTTTCCAAAGCGCTAGCTGCTCTTGTTGGTTAATCGATACAGGATCCCAGGCCTTGGGGTTACTACTCTAGTACAGTTGTAATACATGTCACTGAGATGTGTATTTTTAATAGCCAAATGAATGTTGACATTAGGTAAGAGGGACAACACCACTCTATGAGCTGTAACTTTGAAAAAGTAGAGACCAGGAGTCTGTAAGTCTCAAATATTCCCCACTGTTGCCTGGAAATAATTCTCTCCAACTTTTCATTTTCTCACACTTCTATTTCTTTCTCTCTCTCTTTTTTAACATTTATTTTTATTGAAAAGGCAGATTTATAGAAGGAAAGACAGAGACAAACCGTCTCTTCATCCTTCACTTCCCCAGTAGACACAATAGCCAAAGCTGAACCGACCTGAAGCCAGGCACCAGGAGCTTCTTCCAAGTTGCCTGTGCAGGTGCACAATCCCAAGGCTTTGGAGCACCCTTGACTGCTTTCCCAGGCCACAAGGAGGGAGCTGGATAGGAAGTGGAGCAGCCAGGACACTAACCAGTGTCCATATGGGAATCTTGGTGTGTGCAAAATGAGGATCTGGCCACTTAGTCATTGGGCCCGGCCTGCATACCTCCTGCTAATCACCATTCAATCCCACTTGGAGATCATTTCACTTCAGCCCACAATTTCCAATCCACTTTAAGTAATTCCTATTGTACACCCTTGGGTCACAATCATGTCAGGTGGCTTGCTATTTCACGCTGCACAAATCCCAAGAATCTTTTTGACTTTGTGACATTCCACTTCCTGCATGGAATGCCTTCTCACTATTTTGCCCACTGGAGTTCCGTTTCTTCAAGCGTTCACACTTCATTTTTCATCAACGTTTCCTCTGGCTCCTCCAGGGAGTGTTAATTTTTGCTTCCTTTCCCAGCATTTTAGATTTCCTTATCTAGAATGTGTGTTATGTTGTAATTACATGTTTATCCGTCTGTCTCCCTCAGTAGGCTGTGTGCTCGGGGAAGGGGTTCTGATCACTGTATTTCAGTGTCTAGCAGAGTACGTACTAGGAGATCTAGACATATTTGCTGAGTGAACATTTGACGTTCGCTACTTTATTAAATGACTTCTATGAATTAGAGACACAGATTAACGTAGGTAACTTCAGGTATTCCATTGGTGGAACTGTTTCTTTAGGTTAGTACACATTTAGCTCTGACTGCATGCTGCATACGCAAAAGGAAAACTACTTTGTAAAATAATTGTATAGTGAGTAGGTTTCTTGCTGTGGAAGGTGTCAACAATGACAGATACTTGAGGCGGTTGGTGAGTCCATGACAGTGAGAGGTGTGCTGCTTCATTTATTTCAGCTTATTGAGAATAAGAATTTACACTAACATATTTAGAAACTGAGTTACCCAAATCCACTGAGTGGTTCATAATGAGCTCCCAATTTGTGTTAAAATGGTAGGAAATGTATGGTGCATGGACCTCGGGTGACTCCAGTGTCTGGATGAAGGTTGTGTCCTAAATATCGGGGCAGCCAATTGCCCAGATTTAATTTCAGATGAGCCTGCTTTCCTTATTCCGTAAAATTATTTTTATCATTCATGGCTTTTGATTGTTTGGTCTTTAACAATTCTTTTTTTCTTTCTTAAAAAGAAAGATTCGGGCCCGGCGCGGTGGCGCAAGTGGTTAAGTCCTCGCCTTGCACGCCCGGGATCCCATATGGGCGCCGGTTCTAATCCCGGCAGCCCCGCTTCCCTTCCAGCTCCCTGCCTGTGGCCTGGGAAAGCAGTCGAGGACGGCCCAAAGCTTTGGGATCCTGCACCCGCGTGGGAGACCCGGAAGAGGCTCCTGGCTTCGGATCGGCATAGTATCGACCCGTTGCGCTCACTTGGGGAGTGAATCATCGGACGGAAGATCTTCCTCTCTGTCTCTCCTCTCTGTATATCCGCCTTTCCAATAAAAAATAATAAAAATAAATCTTTAAAAAAAAAAAAAAAAAGAAAGATTCATTTATTTTTATTGGAAAGTCAGATATACAGAGAGGAGAAGAGACAGAGAGGAAAATCTTCCAACAATTCACACCCTCCACCCCCAAGTGGCTACAACGGCCTGAACTGAGCCAATCTGAAGCCAGGAGCCAGGAGCCTTCTCTGGGTCTCCCATGAGGATGCAGGGTCCTAAGCCTTTGGGCAGTTCTCTGCTGCTTTCCCAGGCCACAAGCCTCCTGCTATAGAGGGGGTCAAGAATGATAGTTACTTGAGACAGTTGGATCTCCAGGATTAGAAACAGCACGCAGATGGGATCTGGGTGTTCACAAGGTGAGGAATTTAGCTGCTAGGCTACTGTGCCGGGCCCAGCAGTTCTTTTTTGTAATTACAAAACCAAACGAAACGACGTCTACGGGATATTTTGATGAGATCCAGATATTAAGGAAATATACACCCTTGGGTTTGAGCAGCGTCGACTCCGCATGGAAGTGAAGTTTTACATGTGGTCAGTTCCTCAGTTTTGCCTCTGCATCGTCTCCACCAGAAATGAACATCATTTTATGAATGTGGCTGGTAACTTTCCCATTGAGCTTCCCTGCAGTTGTTTGGAGCTGGGTTTTACAATAAAACAAAGTGCTTTTCTTCCTAACCCCTTGGCTTTATGAAATTCAGTAACATTGTTAGGAAAGTGATTGACTGGTGAGTGTGTCCCCCATTCTGTCGGCTGAGCTGCTTCGAGTGTCTTCTAACACCTTTGTGTTTTAGTGGCCTCACATCAGCTTTTCAGAAACAAATTCTTGCTGTGAGACCAGAATTTCATGAGAATTTTAGTGTCACTAGTATGAAAATAGTACTTCCTAACCTGGAAAGAGCCTACAGAAGCAGAGCTAAGGGAACTAAAAACATAAATTTATTCACAGAATCTATAGAAGCATCCACAAGTGATCATAAAGAGTTATAATTATTGAAAAAAAGAAGGGTGTTTTCTGGGCTTCTGTAAAAATTTCTAGAGCTCTATTTCTGTCCCCAGGGGCAGTTTGAACCTGCTTTGCTCATGGCTGGGAGTTGTCCCAGAGAAGACAGGTTCCAAAGGCTAAGTCCCAAGTAAACAGTGAGCAGGCTGACTGCTGCTCAAACTTGGCTAACATGGTTCCACTGTTCTTGGAAGTGTAGGGTTGGAAGGAAGGCCCCTACTTCTAATAAACAAGGAAGTCCTGGCCACACAAGTGGAAAGATATATGTATCTAGAGAGACGTGTCAATAGATGTATCTAGATACATGTATCAAGATGTATCAATATATGCAACTAGATATATGAATCAATAGATGTATCAATAGGTAAATACAAAAGGCAGAGATCAAGCAACAGAGCTAACCCATTGGTATCCATTCAAAGGCTTCACAGTCTAAAAAAAAATCCCTGAAAAACTAGGAGACATTTCACAGAATAGCTGTCACAATAAGAATTGAGTAAAGGGGCACAAGAAAAGACTGGAGTGGGTTTTGGAGGGGTTAAAAGTTGACAACAAGCCTGACTAGTGTGTTTCATGCAGTTGGTTTCAAACACAGCACACCTTCTCAACCATTGCTTTTCTCGTCCCCAAGAGGCAAGGCACTGCAAGAAGATCACATTTACTTTGTCCCAAAAGGAAACAGAACAGCCTGGATGAAATTAAGTTCTGTCCCAAGACTGTCCTACATCCCACTCTACCACCAAGAACTCAGGGGATAGATTGTTACACCGCTACCCTTCTCTGGTTTCTTGGAACCAAATATCTACTAATCCAGAATCCCAGCCTATCTGCATTTTAGATCATTAGAAATGGCTTTGAGTAAAGTGAAATTTGAAATAAGGGGAAGAAAGGATTCTACTTTTGAAAATACGAGATTGTATTTGTATGTGTACAGAACATGTCTCAAAAGCTTCACTAACCAGAAAAAATAGATGCTAAATGTAGTACAACATTGAAGTTATTATTATTAACATTGATTTTATACTTGTGACTGCTGAATAATGGATTATTAGTCTAAATTTAGAATAAGCCCCTCTGAAGACAAGACTGAAACAAAAAGTGTTGCTCAGCATTCTAAAACTAAACAACTTTTAGTGTTTTAAGTTTTGAATCTGGACTGGCATACGGCAAAAACAATACTGATGGTGGGTTTGAGAATATATGTGACTCTAAGAGGATAAATGTCTGGGATAAGCCAAAATTACAGGAAGTACTCTAGACTTAAGACTATGGAATTAATGAGGCTCAAACCAAGGGCAGTGAATTGATGAGGTTCAAGTTTAAGTACTCATGTAGTATCTGGGTTATAGATAGAAGGTTGACATAGGATAGGAGGAAAGGATGGAGTGAGTGGGCTGGACAGAAAGTTCTACTGGTTGCTATGGGAGCAGCTGCGGGCACCTCCCTTGGCTGTCCCCTGTGCTCGGAATCCTTTGTGACAGAAGCTCTATGATGCAAACCTGGAACTATATAGTCAAGGGCTGGAACCTTGAGCTCTCAGTTGCCTCGTAGCAGCCTTGCGATTCAGACATGGAGACTCTCCTCTTATTTCTGAAAAGCTATCTTGAGCTGTTAGTGAGCTTCAGCTCAACTTTTATTGATAATGAGTTCAACCACGCTGTTCACTTAGTTGTTATCAGCGGGTTGGTGATAATGTTCGTGTACTCGGGCTACCGGGTACTGAAGTTGTTTTTCACAAAAGTCCTAAGAAAGAAGAACATGGCAAAGGTAAGACGGAATTGAGTGAATCCTCGGGGAGATGTCATTGTAGCTGTTTTCCATTTCTGTTCTCACATTTCCAAATAAATTTCGTTGGCTTAGAGAAAAGCCAGAGATGGGATTGTGGGAGCACAGGAGACCACTTTTCCAAGGGAAGAGGATGGGCCGAGATGGGTGGAGAGAGGACAAAGGTTTACAAGTAGAGCTCACGGAGGAGTGATCAGGTATGGTGAAGGTTACCAGGAGAAAACCCTGCAGTCAGTGCTGTGGTTCTCTGATGACTTCCTACAGAAAGTGGCTTCTCTGATGGAGACCATTCCTGTTGAACCCTGATCATGAGCCTCATTTTCATGTCAGGTGTTTCCACACCAAGCCCTCCTTTCCAATGGGTTGAGAAGGAGAGCAACACTGGGACTTGGATCAGAATCTATGTGCTGAGATTTGTCCTGAAGACAAAGGTCTCCTTGAGGGAGCGCAATTGGAATTGTTAGCCTCACCATCCTTGAGCCGAGACCATCTCACTGGGAACCATCCATCCCCGAGACAGAATACTCTGTTTCAAAGAAGAAACAATTAAGATCCAGGGTCATTGTTAAACTTCAGTAAAGAATACATTTCAAATGGAGAGAAATTCTTAGGTAGTGAAAAAAAGAGGAAGTGAACCTTAACCCCTGAGCTTGCACTTTCTGTTTTCAGTGTCGGGGTAGAGCCAAGAGGAGGCGGAAAGGTGGCACACACAGAGGTAAGACTTCGGTGTTGCAAGGGGGACCCTTTCTGTTTCACACCCAGGGCCTCTGAAAATGTCAGTTGCCAGACACAGTCTGAGAAAGTAGACTACTCAGAGGATAGGATGATGGGAAGACAGTCGTATCTGAGACATTTCTTGGAGGATCTACTTGGCCCATCCATGGGCAGGAATGTAAGATAAACCTGGATGATTGATGTGACATGATGATGATAGGAGAGTGAGGCGGGACTATTGGTTGGCTTGTAATCAGAACTATCTCCCACCTTTGACGTCTTGGGGCTCAGCTGTTTAAGTGAACATTTCACTGCTCTGTGCTGGGTGTTACTATCACATTGGGTAACAGGGGGAAGGTACTTTAAAAATATTGCCACATATACAATCAAGCCTTATTAATATTGCCATTGACTATTCTTCCCTACCTATGTGCTCTTTTATTATTTTCCATGACACATTTTGGTGGGTATATGGGGATTCCTTCTCTTCTTTTCCCTGTCTCTTGTTCCCCTCCTACTGCTTACTTTTTCAATGCTTGGAGTTTAAGATCCCAAGGGGCTTCCTCAGAAGGACTCCTAACACGTGATGCCTGTCTCTCTACTTTCATTACTCATATTCTACTCTCCTGATTTTCCAGGTTCAAGGATGAAAGAGAAAGAAGCAGAGGAGGGAAGGAAACTTCTTTATATCCTGAAAAGGTGATCAATTGTTTTTTTCTTTTTCTATTCCTCCCAAATCGCCATCCCTTTTTGACCATCTTTCATGCATTCCAGGGAGTTGGTGATACCTGCCATTGTGATTCCAGGCAGGTAGCCATGGTAATGGGACTGTGATGAAAGCCTCGGGGAGGGGCTCCAGAATGTGGGGTTATGTCACAGATGTGAGGCAATGGCAAGGGGACAATTGGAACATCTCTGCTGCTACTAGGATAGCAGACTCTCCTTCCCATCTTTGGGGCCTGACTGTAACTTTTACTTCTTGTTTCCTGTAGCTCTCTGAGCCAATGTGAAGATGTTACCAGCGTTCGTCATCTCCTGTGCCCAGATGCTCGTTGCATCGTGTGTAACAGAGCAGCAGCCAAGGTCAGCCGGCTGCTGTCTCTGGGGTCCCTGCTAGATGATACATCCTCTAAGCATTACATGACTTCCTCAACTTCCCCAGTTAACACAACATTCACTGCACAATCTGCTTACTCAGAAACCCATCCAAGAGCAAGAACATCAGTCTCTCTGCCCGTGCCCTCTGCACCTCCCCCCTCTACTATCTCACTTAGCCGTTTTTCCTCTTTACCTGACAAACTGATTGCAGAACCACTGGCTGACTCAGTACCACCAGAGCCTATCCTTCCCGTGGCTGGTGAATTCCCAGTGGCCCCTTCCCCACCCCAAACCCCTTCTCTTTCCCCTCCTGCACCACAACGCAGTCAGAAATCCGATCATGGACTCGACCAGCAGACCTCTCTACCTGTAGTAAATGGCCCTGATGAGTTGTCAACTGATAACCCACCAATCAGTGATATTGACCACTCAATGCCAGAATCCAGGGAGCAGGTTCCTGTGAAAACATCTATGGACTTGTTCCCTTCCAATCTGGAACAAGATAGTGTCAAGCAAGAACTTCTTGCTCGCCAATCTCCTGACAGAGAAAGTGTATCTTACTTTGTAGAGCCCACTCACCTCTCATTTGTTAGCCTTAATGATATCACCCACTTGGAGAAACAAATAAAACAGAAGGGTGAGTGCCTGATGCAGAAGGAAAGGCAAAGTAAAATGAAACCTTTCCCAAAACAAGTTATGTCAGCCCACCAACTGGATACTTCAGAGAAAATAACAGAATCAGGTGCTGCTGGATATAGACCAGCAGTCAGCCCAGACTACCAACTGCGTATGCTAGAGTCAGATGCTGACAAGCATGACTCGGCAATGAGTGCAAAACACCAACTAGATACTTCAGTGAAAGTCCTAGAGTCAGATGCTGACAAGCATGACTCGGCAATGAGTGCAGAACACCAACTAGATACTTCAGTGAAAGTCCTAGAGTCAGATGCTGACAAGCATGACTCGGCAATGAGTGCAAAACACCAACTAGATACTTCAGTGAAAGTCCTAGAGTCAGATGCTGACAAGCATGACTCGGCAATGAGTGCAGAACACCAACTAGATACTTCAGTGAAAGTGCTAGAGTCAGATGCTGACAAGCATGACCTAGCAATCATGTCAGACCAACGACTAGATACTTCAGCGAAGATATTAGAGTTAGAGGCTGAGAAGCCCGAGTCCGCCTTCCATCTGGACCCCCAGCTGCGTCCTCCAGAGCCCATGTTAGCATCAGGCACTGAGGAGCACAGTGGAGCAGTCTCCCTGTATTCTGGAGACAGCAAACGCGAACCAGCCGAGCTGCATATGCATCAGCAGCCTCCATCTTCTAAAACTTTTGAGAACCAGTCACCAAAAAAATGTATCCAACATTTCTGGGGTATGCCAACTCTACACAGCGAGTCCTTGTACCCCGTTATCCAGGATGCAGATAACTGTCTTTCCACCTGGATCACCTTCAATGGAATTGCCAAATGCCCCATATCTGAAGGATTTGTAATATCTTACCGTCCCAAACCTCGAGTCTTGCCTGAGACCCAACCTCAACTTTTACCTCAAACTCTCTCTCCATCTCAGTCTGAACACAAACCTCCACCTTCAATTCCAATGTTACCAACATCTCCTTTAGCCCAGATGAGGATCTGTGGAGTGTGTTTCCATAGACCCCAAATTGAGACACAGTCTCTCTTGCCCTCTGAAATTCATCGGCTGGAATACAATGTCTTGCAGAAAGAACAAGAGAATTTGTGGGGTTTACCCCCTTTAGTCCAAAAATCTAGGGAGTACTTTTGCCTCCCACCTCCCAATCCTCCCCCTTTGAGCCAGTTCTACAATATCCACAAGGCAACCTCTATTCTTCCTGGAAATTACCCTCTGAGCCCTGAGCTTCGGAAGAAATTAGAACATCACCTTCGAAAGAGACTGATCCAACACCGCTGGGGCTTACCCCGCAGGGTCAATGAGTCCCTGACACTGTTTCGTCCTGTGAGAGAATCAGCAGCTTCTGAAATTTCGGATTCAGAGAGCAGTCACGGTCACCGACAGAAATGGGTCTCTTTGCTTAAGGATCAGAGTACCAAAGACTTAAAGAGTTCTGAATTCAGCCAGACTTCATTTTCTTCTGAGTCTGGCTCAGAAAAGCGTCACTCAGCTAGAGTTAGGAAGAAGAAACAGAGGCACAGCCCAAAGAGCGGCCCTAGTGATTCTCTCTTGGAGGAGTCCTCCGATAACACTCTGTGGTTTGACTCCGAGGAAGATCCAGAGAGCCATAGAGCGAATCTCTCAGAGAATATTTCAAGGGCCTCAGGGGTCAGTGTTCATCAGAAACAGTTAGAAAATGCACTGAAAGAGCACTTGAGTAAGAAACTGGAGGAAATCAGGGAGGGCCGGATCCCTGAGACCGTGAATAGCTCATGGCATGCCATCAAACAGGCACTGTCTGTTCCTGAAACATCTCAAAGTAGTGTGAAGCAGACAGATGCAGCACCAGGTGTAGCCAGAAGCATTAGCCTAAACACTTCCCAGGTGATATATTTCCTGGGCTCTGAAAAACAAAAGCTACTAGAAGATCATATGAATAGTTTTTGTAAAAGGAGCAAGTGGGGCTTTCCCTTTAGGGTCTTGGAGTCCATGCAGATCAGCAGTGGGAGAGAGGACTCCTCCCAGTCCTTAGGTCATACGCACTGCTCCATCTCGGAAAACTTGATTTCTGCAGTGAGTCCACTTGGAACCTCTAAGTCATTTGGCAGTTCTCCACCTTTTCATGGACACAAGTTGAAGCCAATAAGGTCCGTCCCTAATCTGGATCAACGCCTTCCACCTGCCTCCCTTGTGGGGAAGGACGGACAAGGGGAACAGAGGAAACAATCCCTTAAGAAAAAACCAGAACTTGTAGATGTTCAGATGAAAGGTGGCAGGCAGACTCAGACAGACGAAGAAACGAGGAGGAAGACAGAGCAAGATAACAGACCCTACTCAAAGCTGGTGTCTGCCATTCGTGATGGATCTGGACCTGAACCTAAGAAAAAGGTAGTGGATTCCAGCGACAAAGAAGAAAGGCATCAGCTCTCCAAAACAAAGCCTTTAGAATGCTTCCCAGACCATAACAAGTCCAGAGAGATATTTAAGGCGAACGAACTGTTTGCACTTCGATCAAAATCTACCTGTGCCTTGGCAACCAGCACATCCTTAGGGGCAGATGTGAAAATAAAACAAGAAGAAACTACTTTGATTACTAAAATTCCCACACCAACAATTGCAGTTTCCCCAAACCCTAAAGTGACAGATTTTAAAACCCAATTGATGAATGAATTAAAGTTGAAATTGGAGAGTAGAGATCATAGCCAATTTCAAGGCCAATCTGCTGACATGGCAGTGGCCTCAGATAATTCGACTCCCAAATCTTTGCTAACCGCTGCCCAGAGTGTCCCCAGCAGGGACGTGGCAGCTTCTCAGATTATGCATGTCCACTTGGACAACACAAAAGTCAACGTGGAACAGAATCAGGAGCCCTGGGTTCCTAAATTTGTCTTACAGAACTGCTGGGATAATACCACTACACCCAGTTCAAAGAAACAAAGTTCTTTGCCAGCTCAAACAGGAGAACTTGGTGAAGGAGATGCAGGACTGGGGACATCCCAACAAGGTAAGAAGAGCTCTTCTGTGCAGGACAAAGCATGCAAGGAAATGCATGGGAGCAGAACTTCCCCAAGCCTCTCAGGGCAGAATCAGCCTCCTCCAGAAAGTGTCTTTCAGAAACATATGAAGAATTTTTTGCAATGGTTTTGTCCTGGAAGCAGACCCAAAGGGAAAGGATTTTTCCTTGGAAACGGGTCCTCTTCATTGGCATCGGTGCAGGCAAAAGTTAAAAGAGCTTCCCCGACTAGCAGCCCAAAAACTCCGGCAGTGACAATCAACAATGGCAAGGCGTTCGAGGTTAAAGTGGGTCATAGCCACGGAGTCAGGGTGGCCTGTTCCCAAGCACCACTTTCCTCCCTACCAAAGTCCGTGAAAACTCAAAAGGCACAACCTAGCATCCAGGCAGAGCCTGTCCAGGCACGTGCTTGCAAGCACAAAGCTGCTTCCTCTACACTGAACAATACAGGCTCCTTCAGCCAAAAAGCTCCCAATGCTGGCCAAAATTATCCCTCAAAAAATATACTGATCAAAGTCAGAGAGGGACATCTCCAGGAAATTGTGGCATTTAAGGATCAGCCACCTTTTCAGAGGCACCCCCTCACCATGCACCACGTAGAGAGTGTGCCCCATGCAAGCCACTCCTGTAGGCATCACATTAACCACATGTCTGTGTTGGGAGATCCAGATCAACTCTGCAAACACAAAATGTTCTGTCAGCACTTCCAGGCAGGGAGATTCCCTCCTCCCAAATAATCTATCTTATGTTGAACACATTGATGAATAAATCTCCAATAAAAATTCTGATGAATGTTGTGTTTTGTGTGTACTTTGTGGGAATCAAGTGTTACACTTAGGCTCCTGAATGACAGTACACTGGAACACTTGAGGGATGGTTTCTAAGTACCAAGCAAGGCTCATTCTACCCCTGGTGAATGAAGTACAAGGACTTGAATTCCATTTCCTGACCTTAATGACATTGGGTAATAGTCTCTACCTTCCTCCTCATGGATTATTGTCTTCTGTAGCAATGGGTCTTCATATAGGAGTAGGGTCAAAGTCATGTGCCGTTTTTCAGAAAACTCTGCTGCATCTTTTAAGAAAAGATGAATGACCAGAGCACAGTACAAGTGAGTTACCGTTCCTTGGGAGTGCCTGAGGGTTTCTATTGCAGTAGACACGGTACTGACTGTGGTAAGCTCTGGGAGCACAACAGGTGTTGCTTTAGCACCTGTCATGAGATGCAGGGTCATGGATTGGGTAACCACACCTTGGGCTATTGAGACTTCCCTCCTGGAAAAAGCCCTTGTGAAGGTGGTATTTTTTTTCAAGATCCCTAAATTCATTCCATTTTTGCACAGCAAAATAGTCACCTGGATGTCAGAGGTAGAAGCATGGCATGGTTACCTAACTGCCAGGGCGCAGCATAAGGAGAAAGTATCTTAGAGCAAATGGGAGATTCAGAGCAAAAATGAATAGGAAAAGGAGTGACCTTGCCAGTAGAGCAAGTCCTCATCCTCCTCATCCTCACCTCCTGGCCTTATTCCCACTTTCTCAACCTGAACAAGACATCACTCCCACATGGCTGATCAGGACACTACAGGGGGTTACTAATGCTAAATTGCCAGGACTATACATGGGACTGTTCCTATTAGGTTAAAAGTAGTATCTACAGTGCCATTGTCAGCCACTGGATCCCATTAGGAAAGGTGATTCTGATGTCTTTCTGTTCATGCTTGATGACAAGCGCAAGATCTGCTCTTTATGTATCTCTCACCTGGGGGGAGAAGCTAGCTTTCATCTTGATGGGCTGCTGGGGGCATAATGTACTCCCCCAGAACACCTCTAGCTCAAGATCCAGAGGTAGGTCCTGGTCAATGCATCATGGGAACATGCTAGAGGGACCTCCTTGCACCTCCAAAGAATACTTTTTTTGACCAAGATTGGGTACACGTGCACTCTTAAAACAGGGATCTGGAGGGATGGTATCTCCATTTATACACATTAGAAATCGAAAAGTATACATCTTGTGATACAAATAGCCTGAGAGGATACTAACTTTGCAGGTGCAGTCTAGCTCCTTGCTAATGCAGGTCATGATCAAAGCACTGGGGCTGTGGCTAGCCAGGTGTGAGGACCAGAATGAGTTCCTGTTGCTAGCCATCGCCTTGCCCAGCTCCAGCCATGGCAGCCAATTGAAGAGTGAGCCAGCAGATAGAAGCTATCTCTCTCATTTTGTAACTGTGCCCTTTAAAAAAAAAGATTAATTTTATAAGTTCAGAGTTACACAGAATAAGGAGAGATGCAGGCAAATCTTGCACCTCTGGTTCATTCCGCAGATGTAACAGCCCGTGTGGGCCCAGGCCAAAGTCAGGAGCCAGAATCTGCACTTGCATCTCCCTACGTGTGACAAGAGCTAAACACTTAGACCATCTGCTGCTGCTGTTCCTAGGCCACTAGTGGGGAGGGGTTCTGAAGCAGAGCAGACAGGACATGAATTAGCACCCATTTGGGATTCTACAGATTTATAGGCTATGCTGTGCCCCACCTCCCTGCTCCACATTCTGCCTTTCAAACAAATCTTAAAAACTTAGGGAATTTCCTAGAAGACAGTTTTCTGTAAAAACTGAGTGTCAAAAACAGAAGACGGTCACCACAGGCCCCCTCATTCTAATATGCTTATTTTTAAGATTCATTTATGTTTATTGGGAAGACATATTTAAAGAGTGAAGGAGGGACAGAGAAAGGTCTTCCATCTGCTGGTTCACTCCCCAAAGAGCCACAAGCATTGAGTTGATCTGTAGCAAGCAGCCAGGAGCAGCTTCTGAGTCTCACACTCAGAAGTGTAAAGTCCCAAGGCTTTGGCCCATCCTCCTCATACGGGATCCCAGCAACACAAGGGAAAGATTAACCAGTTAAGCCATTGTGCCAGGCCCATTTCTGTATTCTCATGTAGAGTTATGCCATTCCCATCATTTCAATCATACTTCTGTATTTTTATCCAGAGTTAAGCCATGCATCCTGCACTGCCTGAAGCTTAAGGCTACAGAATGAATGCAGATTTTAACTGAACTCTTGGAATGTAAAAATGAGATGGGATCCAGGACAAGGAACTTTGCAGAGGTGGGAAATCAGGGGAGGACCCCGTGGATTAGCCAACCAATACCTTGGGGGCCTAGACTTTCCTATCTTTGGCTCCTTCTGTTCCAGTACAGTTACTGCCATACTTCAGAATGTCTTAGCTATCTGAAACCATATATTCTGATCATTTGGCTTGAATCCCCTTTGCTTATAGCACATACTTGAATCCATCCATTTTTTGAGCTCTGGGTCATTCTTTGTTACTTTTCTTACCGACCTCATGCTCTTATTTCCTCCCTGTTATACAGACTTAACTGTCTCCAGGGTAATATTTTAAAAGTTTCAAGAGACACTTATGCAATCCACTTTAATTCATTTGCTTGGCAATATCCCATTTCTCTGGCTTTTCCAGAGATGCTTTCCTGGAAGTGATTGACAAAGTTGTACAATCCAGTCTGCTGGCATCATGATAAATTCATGGGTAGCTGAAGCACTACATGGAAATAATTTATTCATTCATTTCACAAATCACTATCTTATACTTTTTTTAAGTTTTATTTTTATTGGAAAGGCAGATTAAAGAGAGGAGAGACAAGACAAAGATCTGTCTGCTGGTCTACTCTTCAACTGGCCACAAAGCCTGGAATGTCTGAGCTGATCCCAAGTCAGAGTCAGACTCGTTATTATTTAAAAGTTTGAAAGTCAACATCTTCTGTTATTCTGGGAAATGCCAAAAAAAAAAAAATTAGCAATGTTCTGAAAGGCCGTGTAGAGGGTCTGTGCTATCAGTACAAAAATTATAGCTTTACTGTGACTCAGAGATGAAAAGTTATAAAACATTCTGATTCAGGAAGAGATGCCATATGCATTTAATGATTTTTATGAGAATAATCATTTTCCAACAAACTGTAGGCATGACTTAATCCCTCCTAGAAAGACGGGAGTGTGTCTTCAAACAAACTGCCTAAGCTGTTTGTTCAGTTTGCTTTTTGATTTAACAAGATGGATTATGAGGGGAAACAACCAGAGCTGTGACAGCTTAGGCTAAATCCTACCTGGCATTCAATCGCTCTTTCCTTTGAAAAGCTCTCCAAGTTCCTAATTCTACAAAGAGCTTAATCGTAGCCACTGGAGAAGTGCCTTGGCTGTAGGTAGAGGTAGGAATCAGGGATTGAATATGTCAATTAAAATAGTCATTGTTATTGAAAAATTTTTGGAATTTCTTAATTTGCATAGGGAAAGCAACCAAAGTATGAATCATTGAAAAGGGTTAAACTGGCTGACATTGAAGTCAACACTTACGGCTCATCTTACTGGCTTTATTGAGTTGTTCTTGTTCCTTGAAAGCCCACTGAAACTTCCAGGGGCACAGTGAAGCTACCATTTCATTGAAAAAATTTCTTCCAAAATATGCTCCCACATTGATGATGTACATGCAGTAAATTTATAAAACTCCCTCCCTCTCGTTCATTGGCCTCTTCTTTATATGTTATCATCATCCTTCCAGTTGCCCTGGCTAAGGCACCAGTGGGAAGGAAAGAAAAACTGTGCTTATCGTTCAATACACGTGAGAGTTTCAAGGTAAAAAAAAAAAAAAAAACAAGGACTAAAAACTACTAAGCGTTTTTCTTCCAGTTCTGTGAAACTTCACAATACATTGGTATAGAACAGGCAGGTTAGTATTGTTTCAGACCAATCACTGCTGACTTTGGGTTATCAAACATCCTCTCTCAAGCACCACGTAGCAGATAATTTGCTGTTAAGTTTTGATATATTGCTGTTTGAAATTCAATTTGTAAAAAATGGGAGCTCTATCAAAGCCATCTTTACAGTAACCTTCATTTTTATTTCCATTTAATTCGATTTTATATTTCTTTGTTTTATTTTGTCTGAAAGGCAGACTGAGTGAGCTTCTATCTGCTCGCTTACTCTAGAGGTCTGCAATAGTTGTGACTGGGTCAAACCAAAGCTGAGAGCTTGTAACCCAATCCGGGCCTCCCGCTAGGATAGCAGGGAAACCAAAGTTGAGCTGTGACTTGCTAGCCTTGAAGGCACACAGGAACAAGCATCTATAATCATGAGTGGAGTTTTATTGGAACCCAGGTACTCTAACATGGGGTGTCAACATCCCAAGAGACATCTCAACCACTAGGTCAAATCCCAGGGCTGTTGTTTGTTTGCTTAAATAGAATTCGTCAGGAGAGAGGAGAGTCATCATGAAGAATCCCATATGTCTGAGAGGGATAAAATGTTAAGAAGCATTGACTTAGGCCAAAAGTCACAGTATGATAGAAGGAACAGATGGCAATATTCGTGATCTGTGCTCCCATGTTCCCTGCCATCAATCCCTGCATGTGAAAATAATTTTGTATTCAATGTTTTCTGACACATAAGTACTTAGCGCCCATCGAATCAATACGCAAACAAGAAAGAAAAAGCATCGGGAAGGAACTATAAATCAAATTTGCTTTGGGGATGAACTTTGGGTTTAAAACTTTGGGTTTACCTGAATTATTGCATGCCCATTATTATTTTTTTGCTGTAAATTCCTAAGTATGCTCTAAATATTTTTTGCTAATTATTTTTTTGCTCTAAATTCCTCTCCCTTTTCTTGCAAACCTATGATGGAAGTACAAAACGGGGTGTGGGGACACAAAATGGTTACGTTTGATTTC